GGTCCTGTGCCAGGTCATCCGTTGCCTGTTGAGGCAAAGCTTGGAGCATATTGAGGAGGTCTTTAGCAACCTTCTGATGGTGGGTGTGGTGCAAGATGTTGACCCGAACGGCCATGCGTTCCCAATAAGCAAGTTGACCCTTCTTCCAGACTTGCGGCCGGATATGATCAACCAGAGGTGCAGATCTCATCAAAATGTGATGGCCTCGTCCTTGTGTAGGATTGTGCAACAACTGGGTCAAGTATTGCTCTGTTTGACTCGCCCATCGGGCTAAATCGGAGCCCAGGCCAGTGATGGGAATGCCAGCGATGGAAAAGGGGCCGTCGGCTTCTTGGAAAGATGTCCAGCACTGAGGCAAGGAGTGCACCTTGCCGATAGGCGGAAAACGTTGTAGCTGCTGGACTTCCACATCCGGAGAGTCGCAACTCAAGGTGAGAGCGAGCCCACAATGTGGTTTCCAAGGCACTTCCCAATCAGCCGTGAGTTGTACCGAGCTGAGCAGGGCATTCGAGATCAGCAGGTAATCAAGTTGTGATCCATGTAAAGTGGTGGCCTGCTGAGTGTCCAAAATCTGGCAATTGAATTTGCTCAGGATCACCGTGGCCGCCATGGAATCCGGAGAGTTCTGCCAGTCTCCTCCAATGATGAAGGGCGCATGGGTGTGATCCAGCAGGTTGAGCAGCTTGGAGAGCAGGTCTGCATTCAAGGGGGACTGCAAGGATTCCCCGGTGCGGAGGTAGACCTGGATGAGCAGGATGAGGGTCCCTTCTCGCTGGAGGCCCAATGCCGTCCATCCATTGCCTTCCTGGGTGTAGGTTTGAACATGATGAGTCAGATGGCGTTGGCCATGGAGAGTGAGAAATCCTCCCGTGGTGCCTCCATTTCCAGTGGGGCTGGCCTCAACGCCATAGGCCTTCCATCCTCTGGTGGTGAAGTACTGCAAGGCCCCTTCTAGTGCTTTGGCTCCCAGGTGAGTCTCCTGTAGGAAGAGAAGATGATCAGGTTTGGTCCAAACCCAATCCTGAACTTTGTGACCAAAGTTGGTGACATTGCCAAAGAACAGGCGCAGGGTCTCATACTGAGTCCTTGGCTTTTTAAGGACCGGCTCCCAAGCTTCCAGAGCATCCGGCTGCAGCTCGTCCAAGGTCTCCAGGATGAGCCAAACCTGAACAACTTGGGCCAGATGTGCCTGTTGGAGCTGCGGTAGCGGAACCGGATATTGGTCGTCATCAGCAAACCAATAGGCATTGTCCAGACAGTGAATGGCTGTGTAGTGCCCATTCTCATGTCCTTGACCTTGGTGCAAGATGAGGCTGATGACCTTGTAGGTGGCCATGTGGACATGGATGCCATCATCAGAATATGGTAGGCGCACCGTGACGGGAATGTCGACCGGGTGCTCATGTTTAGTCCAGGATCCCTCCACCTGCTGGAATCTCTGAAGGTGGAGAATGAGGGCCTCAGGCGTCCCATACAGGTATTGTCCTTGATCTTCATTGGACCAAAAGTTGACGAGGTCGTCGAGGATGGGCCGCTGCATGTCCGGGGGAAAGAGGAGATTGAGCGGGACTTGTTCGCGCTCCTCCAATCTTCCATTTGAGTGCAAGTGATAGAAGCGGCCGCCAAAGAATTTGGAGCCCGAGTTCTCCCATAGGTGGCCAGTGAAAAGGCCGACATCATCTTGATGGCCTGGTTCAAAGTGCCGCCAAACATGTGATAGGCCTTCCAGGTCCGTCAGGGTCTGGGGTTCGTTGCTGGAGAGAAAGTGTCTTGCGGCTGAGTGTGTGGAGCCCCAAGCCAAAGTGAGCTCATCCGCAAAAGCCCCGGCCCAGCACCAGCACCGAAAGGCTGCATTGCCAAAACATAAGTTGTGTGGGTTGCTGAGGATGCTAGTCAGACCTTGGGACAGGACATATGGATTGCCCATCATGGGTGCCATCTCACCAGGTAAAGCCATTTGCTTCAAAAGCACCGCTTGCATTCGCTTGAGATCCACCAGCAGTTGTTGTCCGGCGTGAAGGGATGGCTGAGTGCCATATCGTTCACAGGATTGCTGGAGTTCTTTCTGACAAATTTGAAAAAGTCCGTGCTGACCCGGAGTCAGGTAAAGCTCAGGAGGAGCTGCCTCATCCACATTCATCATCAACTGCCAAAGGCGAGCCAAGGTCTCAGGAGGCAGGGTCCCGTGGGATGCAATGCTCTGAAGAGCTTGCACTGAGGTAGAACAGCTCGGTGCCCCGCTCCAGTCTTGGCTCACTGCGGCAGACTGAGAAGGCTGACTGCCTCCTCGTAGCTTGGGCGGCTGCAAGTTGCGGACAGGTCCATAAACCCCAAGGTGGAGCGGGTCCGAACAGCTTGAGCCTGAAAAAGCAAAGGTGTCAAATTCATAGTGCTGCACAGCCGTTTCAAAGGTCTGTGAGTTCCCCGTGTCCATGTCCATGCATGGAGTGTCCCCGTTGGTTGCAAAGGATGAAAGAGCAAGCTGCAAAGCCATGGGTGTTACGTTACCCACACGACTGGTCCTTCTCTTCGTCTGCCGTCTTCCTGCGTTTGGGGTCGTCCTCATTGGTGGCCGGCGGCCGCTTCAGCATGGTTTTCAGCTGGTCATGCTGTGCCTGGGTGAGGTTCACGCCCAACGTGCTGATGAACCCAGCTACAGCTTCTGGCACCGGGTCTTTCATGTCAGCATCTTCTGACAGCTGTACAGGATCAGGTTGTTTACTGACCAAGGACATATACGCCGTGCTAGTGGTGTTCAGCTCGGCTTGCTCTTGTTCAATCTTGCTCTGGATTGTCTTCATTTCTTCAAGGAGGTCCTGGAAGGCCTTTTTGGTGGCGTCAATCTTCGTCTGCAAGTTCTGCTTCCGATGTGATAAATCTCTCAAGGTGGAGACTTGCTGTTTGAGCTTGGTGGCCACATCCTTTTCGGTGGGTGGTTGCGGCTTGGTGATCTTCTCCACTAGCTCTTTGACCGGCGCCGGGAGTTGTGACAGATTGTCCTTCAGGACAGCTTCCAAGTCTGGTTCTCTGTCTTCCTGAGGTGGAGAGATGCCCAGCTCCTTGAGCTTGCCTTGCAGTGTGGCGTCAAGCTTGTCCCATGACGACAGCAGCAAATCGCCTGTCTGCTTCTGGATCTTGGCCGTTTTGCCACTACCATGCCATAGTCCTGGAGGAGGAGTGACACTTTTGGTGATCTTCCATCGAGGATTGGCACGAGGGGCCGGGGATCGAGCTGCATAGCCCTGCTGTGGCTTGGTCCATGCGGATCCGCATTGCCTGCAGACACATCCCTCACGAACCCGATCGTCCCAAATCCAGTTCCGGCATCCTGCATGTCCGCATACTTGGTAACTGCGTCGTCGTCCATGTTCCATCTGCAAGCGAGCTCTGCCAGGCCACCAATCTTGGGTGCAAAAGCGTGGAAGGTGTCCCCGCGAAGTGCCAAGCAGAGGGAGCTTGAGCCTCCTTGAACCAGAGCGGCTTGAGCCTTAAGCCCTGTTGAATATATACAGTACATAAGTATAAATATATATATATATATCCATAGACCGTCCTGCGGCAGCACGTATATTTGTTTGGGATACTTTCCTTGTTTGTATGAGACGAGGCAACACGCAATCTGATGGCCATACTGATTTGTGAAGAGGCTTGGTTAAATAAATAACCAAACAAAACATGCAAGAAGTAGTCCATAACCCTCATCAACACCTTTTTGTCCAAATTCCCCCAAAACAAACGTTAAACAAAGGTACCAAAACAATTTTGGAAGCAGACTGTTTGAACAGTTTCCTCAGCTTCAGTCAAAGCGTTTCTTCCAAGTCTTGGCGCGGAGTGAGTGAGGGCTTTCACCCGAGGAACAGCTTCACAGGAACAGCTTTCAATGAGACTTTCGACGAGAAAGGAGCGGGGCCGACCGGCGTCAAACGAAAACTGAGCTGGGGCTCTGCCGCAAACAACTCTTTGTGAAATGGTCAACCTAGAAAACACCATGTTGGTGTCATATTTTGCGCCGGTTCCGCAGTGTATTTTGCAGGTTTCCCTGTTGCGTTATTAGTGTGTTGTTTTTGCTTGTTTGTCTTATTGGGGGTTTTGCAATGTGCCTTTCGGCTTTGCAATGTCGCAATGTGTTATTAGGCTCTTCCTCGTTCAATCAAGCAACAAATAAAAGTGCACAAAATGAAATAGTGAACACTTTCAGCTTGAAAAGCCAGATTTGAAACACACGCAATCAGGCTAAGCTCCTTGGGCCTTGTGGGTTAGCCTTTTGAAAGATTGAATAAGCAGTTTTTTGAAGGCAAGAATCAAGAGACAGGCATGGGCAACATTCATGCGAGGTTTCAATATTGTTGTAATACAATGTTCACTAAGTCATTGATGACGTCTGACCTTGTCTCTCGTCTGCCGTCTTCTCTCGTCTGACTACCTTCTTTCATCAACCCCCTTCCCCCTTTTCAGTCTTGTTTATATAATCATACGATTGATGGCTGAATGATGAACATCGTTTGACACAGCCAACACAGTCTGAACTCATGATCGGCACCTCCAAGAACAAACACATGAACAAAAGCCCCCACTGGCCAAGCACCCAAGTACCCGCTGTTGTTGTAGCAACCCAGATCCCAGCTTGAGGTTTGCATTTGAGTTTTACGTTGTTTTTTTGTTTGAGTTTCAATTTGTTTCTGTTTTGTTTCTTCCTAGAATCTGGCTCAGAGTCCTCCTTTATGGTTGAGACATTTGCTGAGCCTTGTCTTGTTTCTTTTGAGTTTAGCTTCTTATTTTTGCAAAACATTGGATTTCTGGTAATTTGGTTTCATAAGGCTGAACCCCAGCGAAGGTCACGCTTCATGCAACGGAGTCATGTGTATTTTTGGCTGCGCCTGTGTAAGGCGAGCCCTATAGACATACATCGAAAGAAGCTCCAGGTCCACATTACACCCTCACAGATCCTCGCAGTCTTTACGCTGTTCATTCCTGATCTTGGAATTCACACCCTTTAAGCTTTAAACTAAGGACGCCTCTTCTCGTCTCTTGATCTCGGACTCCAGGGCAGGCCTCCTCCATGTTGCTTCGCGCCTCCTCAGCACGTCTTTGAGCCTGCCAGGCAGTCAACACGAGCCGTGGGAGCACAAACATCGCTCTGGCGAGCGCTTCGCCAAACACTCAACATCTTGGGGGGGTCAAGTGCGACGGTTTCTTCTGGAAACTGTTTGTGTCCCCAATTTTGTAGTCACAATTCACCGGAATATGAGTTGGTGTGTACAAAATGGTAGGATTTGCAAGGGACTTTTTATAACACGATGTGATGTTCGTAATTGATGCCTTTACAAACAAATGTTTTATACTACGAGTGTGCTGCTTTATTCGATGTTTGAAGTTGGAAAGATATCTAAAATGCGGGAGGTGTAGCCAAGTATCTTGTATTTGGAGACGCTGCCCTACCAGCCAAAAGTGTGACGTGGAGTCCCAGCATTTCATAGAGACAAGACAGCTAAAACCACATCAGCTTGTCTTGGAAGGAGACGTTGAATCCAACGATTTCATAGTGTTAGTAGACCGCACTGGGCACAAAAATATTGTAAATACTACAAATGGGGGGAAGCAGCAAAAGAATAGCGTACATTCTTTTTGTAAAGACTCGGTGGTCTCAACGTAGTGGTCTTCACAAATTATTATCATGCACTATGATTCTAGAGCCGTGTGCGGAACAAAGAGAGAATGGGGTAATCAGGTTTGCAGAATGGATGGCCCCCCAAACAATGGACAGCCTGAGAACAAAAATAGGAAAGGTAAGAGGGTCTGTCATTTTGTAGAGCCAGGACACTCTCAGCAAAGAGCAGTCATTTTGTAGAGCGAGGACACTCTCAACAATACGGACCATCGTTTTGTAGAATCTGTGGATCATGTAGGCTTCAAAATGCTTCAACCCAAAGAGAGATCCAGGAGATTCGGAGATTACAATAGAATAGAGCAGATGAGACTGTGACTAGATCATACTAGATCGGAGTACGTACAAAGAGCAAACAAGAACTATATATCATTTTGTTGAGACCATGTTGCACCAGACTCAGTGAAAGCTCTATATCAAGAGTAAGTATAAAGAAAACGAAAGAACTATTTTACAAAGTGGCAGGAGTATAATTTTAAAGTTTGATCGTCAGTACAAATCCAATTCACAACACACGACAACACCTGGGTTAAAAAACTGTATTGATTTCCTCGACACCCCGTCCCTGCTGTACAAAGTGTTTGGATGGCTGTAGCTTCCTTTTACAAGATGGCCGTGCATCCATTTAACTTCTAACGTGATTCCTCTACAACATGATGGCTGAATCGTCACACTTTGAGGTTACTACAAAGTGACGGGCCTCACCGGCACTTCAGAGATCTAAAACAAAACGTTCTATGCGGGCCCCAGAAGGCCAAACATTTTATTTGGGGAATGCTGACCTCTATCAATTCAGGAATTGTGGAGTGACTTTGGACCTCGATTCCAAACCTCTTCGGCCGTCTCCCGCGTCCAATGTCTGCGTATGTGTGGCTCCAGGTCTTCCCATCGACCTCATGGAGCGTCTCAAAGGTGGACGGCTCCGGCCTCGTGCCCGAACGACCGGTGAGCGCGAGATGCGACGACGACGACGAACAGGTCGGAGCGCCCGTTCCGTGCAACCATTTGGTCGGGATGTCGCCAGAACCACTCGAGGTGGTTCGGGTGAGATCTTCGTGGAAGATCACAGGTTGAAGAGATCCGGTTGCGGAGTTCCGAGTTTAAAGAAACATATAGAAAGATCAGAGATTGAGAGGTTGAAGATGGTTGAAGATCCTGGAAACACCAACAAACATGTCCTGCCCATTCTTTTACTCACCTATATTTTGGAAGTAGATGTTGTTTTAGAATGCTGTTGGCAGTCTATAAGACTTCTGCTTGCCTTATGTATGCAAGCTTTTCCTCTCTGGCGGCTGGTGAACTGGAGCGTAACCTAGTCTGCAGCATGTGGCATACTGTAAACAATCAACAAAGAAACCAGTGACTACTGTCAATGACTCCGCAAGCAAAAGCAGTAACACGACACGATCCAACTTCCGGTAGCGGAACAGCCCATCTTAGGCTGTGCAAAGGCAAATACAGTAAACAATTCTTGTGCAGCTTCAAGTCTCACTCCATGAGCCTCACAACTCCTCACAATACAATCGATACAACTAGAACATATCAATCAATATGCGAAGCACTTTCCTATCTTTGAGCTCAATCAATTGAAGTGTCTGGTCTTAGCATGTTTGGATCGGGCGACTTCACGACTTGATGGAAGCTGTGCCACAAATAACAGTTGCCAGGAATATCTTTACCAGTTGCTTGATAACCTCCCTTTTGACGGCAAAACCCACCTGACACAAAGAAGTTTAAGTTCAAAACATCAATGATATTATGCTTTATATCGAGCTGCTGGATGTCCTCCATGAAGAAAGAGTCCTGCCCTCCCTCCTACCCATGTCATTTCCAGCATTCCCTTGACTACAGTCGACACAAAGCCTGAGAGTCTGACCGCGACTCCGTGCGATCTTTGGCACTTGCGGACGCCGCTGGTGTGGACATGTTCGGTGTGGCTGTGGACATGTGGGGTGAAGCTGTTGGGCGGCCGGTCGCTGTGAAGCTCGGTGGCACCACCGTGGGCGTGGCCGCGAGGGGCACTCCGGGGGGGCTCGGGAGCATGACCGGGATGGGCGCTGCAATGGATGGTGGAGCCACAGGAATGCCCGGCACGGGCGGAATCGGTGGGACCATGAAGCCGGAGAGTCGTGGGTCATATCCTGGCCGATGCAGTAAACCCTTCGCAAGTGAGAATTGCGCAGTAGGTAAGGACCTACTAATTAGGATACTATGAGCTTAACTGCTGGCATTCTGTCAATGAATTACACAATTCCCCTTGGCGCCACTGTTCCCAGTAAATTCACTCTGCTCCCATTAACCACTCCAGTGGTTCGCAAGTCTTGACATCCACAAATCCTGCGTTAGGCTGAAATACTCCGGCCTGGTCGTCCACCCCATCCAGGGTGCATCGCAAGCCTTGGCCAGCGTGTCTTCGGACTCATCATCCAAGCCATCTTCTGCATCATACTCGACAACAACGCACAAATCACCAAACATAAACAAGGCTGTCACCACAGAGAACCCTGAGTGTTCTATTTGGTTGACTTCCTGAACAACTCTGGTACCACCTGTCTCAAGTGGTCCGCCGTGATGGGCGCATGGCATGCAAAAACACAAGACATCGCAAGAACAAAACAACAAGAACATGCAAAACTCGGTACACTTGGTACGAGGCCACATGTCCACAAAATAAGTTATGAACACCCATGCCTACTAGCCACTGCAAAAAGGAAACCAGTGTTTGGACCTTGTATACTGGACCAACTCAGTCTCAGTCAACGACAAGTATATAATGGCTTTGGAATGGCAGCTTACATCATCTTACATTCACATAAGTGCAATTCCTTGGGTTCAACATGTTACGGATGCTACCAGTTGGATGATTGATGATGGTCCAAAACAACTCAAACACTCAAAGGGTACCCACACTCTGTCAACTCAAAGCTGCAGGACCAGGGTCGTTCACCTTAGTTAAGTAATCTATGTCCTTATTCTACCGCGTTCGAGGCGCATCACTCCAGTGGATGACCTTCGAACCACTTGACCTAGCTACGCTGATAAATTCTTAGAGTAGCGAACCAAACATATATTTGTTGATCGACATCAGATGAGTGGGGCGTCCCGTACCCTGCAATCGAATTACCGGTTGGCATGAACATGCACAACTGAACGTGACGATTTGGAAATGCACCCCACATGAACACACAGAACATGCTTGCATCAAAACATCCTTTTCTTCGAGTGCCTCTCAGGGCTTGACTCAACTTGAACAACCTGCAGGTCAAACATGTACCAGGAGGAACTGTTTGGCAACCATGACAAAACCGGCGTAGAACACAACCACATGGACGTTTCAAAACACATTTGGATCCCCAACAATTTGCAGCTATGATTGCGCCACACCGCTCAGCGACAGATAATCCATGGCACGTTCATGAAGGACTGTCATTGTGGCCAGTGCCACAACGTTACACAGCAAACGTGTCGTTGTATACTGCGATGCAGCCCCAACCAAATAATCCCAACAACATGACATTCAACACATGAACCTTCCAAACAAAACCAACAGTGCATTGGACGTGGCAAAATGCAATGTGTGCTTTTCTTCCGACATGTAAACCACCATGAACATAGCCTCCTCATACAGGTTGTTGCTTCAAAGAACATTCCAAAACTGTACACACCCGAACGCAACATGTGTTCAGTTAAATCTGCTAAACTGCTAAACTCTTGAAACCTGCACAGTTCCCTACAATTTTGCAAGGATGAAAACACAAATCGACGCAATGAACCTCACAACAGTCGATCAGCCTGGCCGCCGCTAAGGTCATCTAGATCGAAAGGAACCTGTAATTTGCCAGCACTTTGGCAACATGTTGCAGTGTTCCTGATGATTCAACGTTGTTCAGCACAAAAACATCGATGGTGAAGTTGACGGATGATCGTGTGGCCTGCTTGTTGCAAGGCAATCCGTGACTCAAACCTGAAAGTAAGAAACACTGCAACCTCAGCTAGCCGGACCAAATTCATTCAGCATAATTACGCCAAGAACACATTCAACATGTTGTTTCTGATGGTCACGTTTTGTTGCAGTTGTTGTTAGGAAGTGCTTGGGCAATCGAACTCTTCAAAGGTGATTTAATTAACCATGTGACAAGTCGAACATGTAAAAACTAAATCGCAGGAGTGGCCACAGTACAATTTTCCACTTTCTTTTGTCGCCCAGCTGCTGCAAGCAAGCACGACCTACCATGTGCTCGCTGCTTGCCGTCTGAGACATGACCGAGCTAACCTACCACATTATCGTATTGACGTAGCTACAGTGAAACAGGGCACGTGGGTCAGCCATCAAGGTCCTGTATGGTGATGTCAGACATCAACATCCTCTCGGCTGCTCCAGCACGCATTCGACAACCGATATATATATATAAGTATATAATATATAAACACGCCCAACGAACCCTGCCAAAGCTCCACCCTATAGTTCGGTTTCTGCCTACATAACGGTACCTGGCATCCTGCCTCTATAAGCTCCTTAACAAAGCACACAGGGGCAGCGCTTATGCCCCAAATCTGCTACGCAGGAACCTAAACATGTTCAATGTGTCCTTGATGCACTGCAGCAACCGTGGTTACATGCTTGGGGGTTTCGTAGTAGTTTTGGGACAGTACACGCAAAAGACCTTGCCTCAGGCGGCTAGGGGTGTAGCTTGGCAACCTTTGCCCCTTCTGCTGGGTCAGTTTGTTTGACTCATCATTCAACCTATGGTCCGCAAAATGCATCTTGTTCTCAAAAGAGGAAGAAGCTTACTCAGGTCACCAGCTTGGCACATTAAAGCAATAAAGAGATGGGAGCAAGGTGAAAGAACCTCACGGTTCATTCATAGTAGCTGCAAGCGATCAAGACCGGCTTTTCTTCAGCCCAAACCGAGGTGCTGGATAGAAATCAGGAGGACACATGAGTTTAACAGGTCTACAAAAAACAACAGAATTACATAATGCATTGTATACAGAAAGCCTTAACCCAAGAATGTGCCCCTGGATAGAACGACTTGGTCTGCAAAAGCAAACTAGACAACTAACTAAACAATGATGACAGGCATTGCCCAGCAAAGACCCATCAGCCCAAAGCAAATGATTCTGATGTCTCGATATCTTCTCTCCAATCCAACGGGTTGTCAGGAAGATGGGAATCTATCAGTTGTTTTTTCTGCATTCTAGATGTTTCTGTGTTTGTTTCATGTGCGGTACAGGTACAGTATACGTACATATACCACGTGAGCAAACACGCGCACAAATGCCCATCGAAAGCCATAATACTGCCTGCAATAGACAAACCAGGCGGCTGCAGTATGGGTCCCTGCTCACCAACGGCGTCAAGTACAATATGCTCAGTAGGGGACTTCAATTCTAAGCTTTATGGGGCTATCACATACACCGGGTCAGTCAAACAGGTACCCATCCCTTCCGATCTGCTAAGAGCACCCCGAAAGTTCAAGAACTTCACCCCAGCCGAGGCTTCAAAAAACAATTGAACTCATCCGCCAAAACATCCTCTCATCCTCTTGATAAGAACAAAATTAAACAAACAGACTTATAACTTATCAGTATGTAATATAGAAGTGTTAAACAAAGAAAATAAAAAAGACACACACACACACACAATTTAAACGTTAACAACCCCAATGTTGATCACTGTTCTCAACTCGACTCCACCGACCAAAAATTGACTCGAGAATTCCTCCCCCATCACCCGCCCAGCACGTGCAAAGAAAGCGTTCCGTTCCTCAGATGGTGAACTCCAAGAGGTACGTGGGCATCGCCTCCCCAATTCCAAGCCCAGCCCAGAGCCCCTCAAGCAAGCCCCCAGTTCGTCCATGTTTCGGACCCGATGGACAGATTCGGACTTGGCGTCTTCAGAAATCGTACATGGCATGGTCCTGGAAGTATGTAGGGGTTATCCTGGAGGGTTTTGAACCAAAGGGAGTCCTGCACCAGCTGGTTCAGACCATCCAAGCATTGGTCGCCCCCTCCCAGATTTGAATCCAGCTGTCCTGTCTCCAAATCAAGAAAGCACTGTGCCCAAACTGTTCACAAGGGTGACCGCAAGTGTTTCAATGTTTCACAAACAAAAACAGCCCATTGATCCTTTGACCACCGCAGGAAAGGCCATTGATCCACCATTTCACAATCTGCTTCGGTGCGACTCGACGATGGCCGGCCGGTGTGGCACGGAGCAGCTCGGCTCAGCGCAGTGCACCTGGAAGTCTCGGAAGATGCAGAAGTTCACGGGGCAAAGGAGGTCGTCCACGGTGCTGTCATAGCCTCGGTTGATCCGCGAAAACATCTTCCCAGGAACACGCTGGGAGTTGACAGCTGCGGGGGGAGTTGAAGCAAAAAGCAGGTGGAGGTGGGACACAGTCGCGAGGCGGGATCTTGCGGGAGTCTGACAAGCCGGCAAGCAAACTCGTTTGTGGAAGATATAAGGACTGCTGACAGAGCAAGTTTAAACTCTGGTTTCTATGTGGTTGTGTGCTGGAAAAGGGAGACCTCCCAACCAATGGGTAGGACGTCTTTAGAGGCTTCCTATTCTAATACAATCATGTGGGTGCTTTCCTGTGAGGAGGGTGATCCTCAGACTCTGCATCGTGAGGTGGGAAGTTGGAGAAGTCTGCTGACTGGGATAAAGTAAGATACGGTATAAATAAGTACTATTTCATATTCCTTTTGCCCTGGATTCGGTCGAATTCACCAACCCACCGACACCACTGTCACAAAGCCTCTCTCAGTCTCTCTCACTTTTTTCTCCATCCCTCAAGCTCGGGATCTCGCCATTCGGCATATCGTCTCATCATATCTGACTTAAATTTATTGCATTATATCTTCATGAGCTCTTACCTTGGGTACTCACGCGCCCTTGAGGAAAATTTGAACATCATCACAACAAATCAGCACTTTGAAGTGAGTAACTGATAAACTTCTGGCTGTGGGTCGAAACCCGTGGGCAGAAAGGTATACCAGTTCCACCGGTGAAATCGCCCGTCTGAAGACGGAAGTAGCTCAGGCTCTCCGGCGGATCAGGCCTTCTGCGTCCTTCACGGGCGGCCTGGGCGGTGACGCCACGGCCATGGCACCCGGAACCGGCGGTACCCACAACCGCACTAGGAGCACATGCTCCGTTCGTAGTAAGGCCAGGAGCCCCGTTCGTAGCGTCCTTGCTCCGTTCGTAGCGATGCCCTTTGCTCCTAGTAGCTTCTTGTTCCTATATAGTAGTAAGGCCAGGAGCCCCTAGGCCCCTAGTAGCGCTCTGCCCCTCGGGTCCGATCCCCTCACGAGCAGTCCATGCGACATCATGTGAATGACATCACAGTGTTTGAATTCCATGGTCAATTAGTGGGGCGGGTGAAGTGCACTGGGGTGGCTGGTCATTCAGAGCTCTTCCATGTTGAAATGGCTGCTTCGGACCAGATGTTTTTTGAAGCTGGCTGTTCCAAAACGGATCCGGTACTACGGTCAACTTTCTCCATTGACTGTAGAATATGTCCAGGCTATCTTCATCTATGTTCTCAACTCTCAAAGATATGCATATTGTTTCACGAGTCGTGTGGAGGACAGGCGTCCTTCAAAACAGGCCCTTGTCAAGAGACAATCACACACCCATGCACAGCATGCCTCTCATGGGGCCAGTGACGTGGATTTCTGAGTTGTTTACTTCGCTTCACAGCACTGAGTCGACGCGCTTGGACCCTTAGACCGGACGAGCCGGTTCCGGAGTCCACCAAGCCGTCGGGCTCCACCAAGTCCGGAGAGCCTTTGGCCCAGGCCTCGGCAAGATCGATGGCTTTCGGGTTCGGTGGCGAAGACAGAAGCCACTAAGCTTGACATGGTATCTTGACATAGGGTTCACCCCTTGCAAAGCAGTGACGGTGAGGTGTATGCATTGCAGCACAGCTGAGCAGCCAACGCCCACGAGAACCTTGGCAAAGAACACCGTGCGCCGCTGCCGCTTCCGGTCACAGAAGCGGGTGCCTGGCTAGCTGCACTCACTCTCCAGCGGGAAAAAACTGATCTCTCACTCCAATGACTCTTTGAATCTCTTTCAGGAACAGTTATTGCAGGCAAGTGCGCCTTTTCTCGGCTTCTCACATTCAAAGGATTCAAAGGAGCTCTTGGTTCCGGCGGGCCCAAAAATACGCCCAAACAGAGCCAAAGAGGCTGTATGCCGCAGAGGCGGAAAAATAGGAACCATGGCCCAGCTTTGTACCTCAGAGTTCCGACGACTGGGCGAGTCGTTTCGTTGAGCCAACTCGGTACTATAGGACTCTTTTAGGGGGGGCCTGGTCAGCCAGGTGCCGAATCACTGGGAAACTGAAGATGAAGTGTCGAAACGATAACAATGACAATATCCTTCAGAATCCTTCAGCTATTCTTCTGCAACCACTTCATCTCCAAGGTCTGCCCAAATGAACAGTGAAATCATTACAATATCCCACAAATTATGAATTGACAGCTCCGCAGCACACGGTCCTTCTAGGTATCGCACCATGCCTCCTACCAGAGTAGGCCCGGTTGAAGCCATTCAGTACGATGTTCGGCACACACCTGGCAAGGTTGAGCGCACCTGCCAAGGAAATTAACATAGGAAAACGTGGGTTTAGGCAATATCAACGAGGTGTTGATGCGAGAGCTGTGAGCAGCACATATTTCTGTAAGGACGAGGAACCTTTCAAGGATGCCCGCAGCCCGCCAAGTGTAGTATTCAGTTAGAGGAGCTGAGGACTATTGCAACTTGCAAAACGTAACGGGGACATTATTCACATGGGGTTGATTGACATTCCACTAAGAAGCCACAATAACTTATTTGGTGAAAACTATGACATATGCTGGCTCAGCTCTGCCCAAGCAAGATCAAGCAAGCATGTTTCTACGGAAAAGAGTTTGGCAATTTCCTCCTCTTTCCTGCAGTCCAGTCCTTGCTCGTTATTGCATCTTACCCACCAGGAAACTTCCTAAAGGTCCCATTATAATGTATGACAACTTCGTGCAACATGTGCAAGCAATTATTCAGTCATCCAAAACAAAATAGATCCTACATGAACCAAGCACCTTCAAGGGATGCACATCGCATGCAAAATTTGGGGTTGGTTTCTTTGGTCACTTCTCTACATGCTACAGGGGACCAGCTGGTGGGCCGACTTCAGGGCTACAACCCCAGAATAGCAAGGCGCAAGCCTCTGACTCAGAGTTGAGTGGAGCTTGCAATGAGCGCAATGAGGCTGTTGTCTGAGGATCTTCTCAGAAAGAGGCAGTGCTGGCAAACAAATGTTGAGGATTTTTTCATCTGGACAATCTACTTGGAGGATACTCATCTTGAACAACTACAATGAGTTCACAACTGAGTGCTTTCAGACCCAGCGTGACACCACGTATCTTTCGCACAGCTGGGTCTTTACTTTAGGTCCCAGGCTTCTCGGAATACGAAAGCAGTCTTACTCTACGCACATCTTAATGACGCATCTGCGCTGGGCACACATGAGACCCATGAGGAATTTGCTGATGCACAAGTTCCACCTGACCTTTGCTTATAGAAATACTTAGTCCATCTTGGACGGTTTTTCTTGCGGTGCTCGTGACCGCCGGTGTACCGTTGTCTGTTTGCCTTCCTCCCTTCCATCACCGTCCACCCGGTGTGCTTTGCCACACATGCCCGGGAGCACTCGCTGGACGTGCCGTGCCAAAGGTCCAACCTGGGGCGTTGGGCGTGTGGCACCCACCCGCCAAATGGGCTCGCCGGTGGCGCCGGTGCCCGGTCCGGTGCTCGGTGCCCCAAACAACGACGACCGGAGCTCGAGCGGAGCTCGGGGTCCCGAGCTCACAATCGCTCCCCATGGCCTCTCGTACCGCGGAGTACACGCCGGCCTGGACGACAGGCAGCGATCTGGAGTTGAGGACACAGTAGAATGGCGGACCAGTTTGTTGGAGCAATATATGTGGGTGAACTGTGTTTGCTGTAAGTCCAAAAGTGAGACTCTTACTGTTGTGAACCGTAGTCTCATGATGTCTCACGTCCTTGACCCGATGACTTTGAATCAAAGATTTCTCTGTGGCCCTGCAGCCGGCCCACTTCCAGTACGCGCCCTGAAAAGGCCACGCGGTCCCTTTTGATGGCTGTCTCTGCGGTCTTTCTACGCACAAAACGAGTTGAGATGTGCACTCAACTGGTCTTGATATTTGCACGGCCACCTGACGCTCAACTCTCTTGAACAGCGAACCTTTTTACTCCTTGGAGCGTTTTGGGATCATGTCAATGCCCCAACTAGCATCTGTTCATGGTTGTCGATGTTCTTTTGAGAGCAGCGCCGGAGCTTTGCCTGAACCACTGGGTCTTGCGGCTTTACTTGATGAAACTCACCCAAGTCATCCCACGTCGAAAATGCTTCGAGATGGACAGTCCACTGGCACCATTAAAAAAATGTGGTTAGAAACCAGTGTGGGACACTGTGCAGTAGTCTGAATGCCACCACACATGTGTCTTAAAAAGAATATGCCAAGGCGCATTTAGGGCTTTGGCTGCAGAGTCATGTGAGTGTCCACTCATGAAAACAAAAAACAATATGTGTCAAACTACTGTATCCTGAATCATCCTCAACATGTGAAGGGCATGACGCTCCGCAAGCTTTCAGCCTTCCGCCGCTCACGGATATACCTCTCCGGACCAATAACGAAGGAAAAAATGATCCAGAATGGGCAGAATCTGGTGCATTTCTGCTTAACACAGAAACAAAGTCTTCAAGTCAATTAGGCCATCTGATGTTAGACTTCCAGTGGCACCTGATGCGGGAAAATGCCCTTCAGAATGACAGCAAAGGTGCCTTGCATGTGTACAAGTATGTGCGAGTAGCAAGCACCGGAAGTCAACCTGCCAAATCAGTTTGTGATTTGTGCGAGAGCCAACAGTAGTCTGTACAGTGTGGATGTACTGAATCTATTGTAGCGAGTGCATCTCTGCTGCACCATCAGCACCCATACTAAGCGTATCTAAGTCATTCTGCGTCCACGTTTTTCAACATCCAGTCCTCATACACAATGCGCCCACAGAGACACTCGAAAGACACTCGAGCTCACAGTTTGCATCACTTCCCAGCGATCAAATTGGAGCACTGGACTCCGCCCCGGATCTACAAGTGCACCTCTACCAACTGGCCCTCACTGGAAAGTGAGAGCTCCAAAGCCTGCTGATTGCTCCCGCTGATTGCTATCTCCTCAGGCTCAAGACGAGGCTCCACGCTCCGGAGCGGGGACGTCGAAAAAAAGAGTCCAGGACTCGACCAACTCTGAAACCATGAAACCCAGGTGCCGAGGAGGGACGTTTGGGGTGCCGAGTCTTCCTGCCAAGAGTCCAAGTGCTCTACAATCTCTTCAGCCTTCCCCAGGTCCTTGCATCGATGTGAATCCCGAATCTGGGCAGTCGGTTGCAACCAAGCATACCTGGACCATCCTGTCTGGGTGTCCAATGGAGATCCCGGATAGTAGTGGAGGGTAGTCCATTGGTGACCCAGTGGATGGTCCTGATATATAAATATCAGTATGTACCTTGAGTCTCCAAAGACCCTTTTTTATGCGTTTGTGTTTTGGGTCAAATACCTTTTGCGTCTTTGCTCGAAAAACGCGTTTTCAGAGATGAGGACTCAAAAAAGGTACAGAGTGAATCTTCATCCGGACGCGTCCGGTGCGGACGCTGAAAGACGCCTTTTGGACGCAAAAAGACGCGTTTTGGACGCCGAAAAAAGGTCTCAGGACACTGTCTACGGAGGATCTGACAGGGCACAAACAAAAAAGGAACATTTCGTGACATATGCAAAAAATAGTGCTTTCTTTCAAACACATCTTTTTCTTGGAAAGGCAAAATTAAAAGGGTCATTGGCGAGACTCAAGGTAGATTACAACAGCTTACAACACAGGTCGAAGCAACTAGCCCCCCCAGTCTGATCAAGAGTGCTAACTAAGGCTGACTAGTGCACCAGATGCTGTGTATTCCAGCTGTCTCCTCTCATGCTTCGTGTCAGCCTAAGACATTCATGCCATGCACGTGCAGGTCCACGGTCCAGGTCCTTTGCCAGCTGCGCTGCTGTGCGTCCCCTCGAGGTCTTCTGACACGGATCAGCTCCAAACGCCAGCAGGAGACGCACCATCCTCTGCAACAGGAAATGCCGCGGCGCCGCGGCCGTTCGGTTCAGTCGGGATCTTATTGCGTCATTTAGAGATCTTCAGAGCAGGGTTTTCAGGAGTTCGAAAGGCCGAGGATTTTGAGACACGTAATCATCCCAACTTGGTGCAAATGAGCAGCTCGTCGTTGTTCTCCGCCACCGCATGGTGAAGAGCGTACATGGTTTCTGTCCCTCAGGTCAATGCACAAAAACCACTGGCATTTAGCAATGAATCTCGCACAACAACTTGGCAAGTGTGTGCGTGCTGGTTTTCCCCTTTCTTAGGTTGGAGGCCATCGCTAGTAGGTTGGAGGCCATCGCTAGTAGGTTGGTTTGCATGCTGGCTTTCCCCTTTAGGTGCCATGCAAACAAGCTCTGGAACATGCTTTGAGGCCCGCATGAACCATCTCAACCAGCCAGTGCAGTTTGTGCTGACCGCAACACACCAAGTCAATCACTTTTGGTGGGCTCGCGGAATAGAAATACATACACGCACATTGAAATCGGGGTCACACACGGGTTTTGGTGGGACAAATTGTTGGCAAAACCTGGCGATTGAATCTGCAGAATCAAAGTAGCCTCCTGTGCCTCTGAACTTCTTGACACAGCTTCTGGTACCCATTCTTTCTTCCAGTTTTGCATGCAATCGAAGGACTCCAAAGAAAACAGCCCTTGGGCAGTTGGGGCTTGTGGATGTTATGCAAGCCGTGCCGTCTCAAGAAGGCCTGGAGCTGAGCCTGGTGAGCTGAAACGAAGTTCCGTCTTGCTATGTCTTCTCGGAGCACACGAGGCAGCTGGCAAAAAAAACAGGTTTCACTACACATGCACATCGTATTTTGACACATGGTCCCTTTGCCCCCAAAAGACAAACATGCGTCTCATTGAACAACGTGAACATGTCAACATGTCCACTTTGCTTGCTCAATGCATTGGGAACAAGACAACACACATAGATATACTATGTTCGTGCAAGTAGCCAGCCCAAACAACCTCGCCTGCTGCTCAAGTTCTGCTGCCCGTCTGCTCTCCGCGCCTGACGGTGGCCGAAACACGCGAGAAGCCGCCACAAGAAATGGCATCAATCACCCCAGGCACATCAAATGCCTTGGATAGTTGATGGACTTTAGGTGAGGTCATGTGGATGAAATCCATTCCAGCCCCCTTTCTTGGCATACTCCCTAGTGACCGCTCCTGACTCATGAGTTCAGACATCGGACCCGCCACACTTCTAAAACATGGCGCTTACAAGTTGAGTGGAAGAACCGAGAAGAGCCCCCAAGAACTACAAACATCCGGAAACGCGCGTGGCCAGGAGCCCCTTGTAGCTTCTTGTTCCTAGTACTAAGGCCAGGAGCCCCTAGTAGCGTCCTTTATTATGCTGCTGGTGAGTTGCTGGATTTCTTGCTGAATGTTCGAAAACTCACAGGGCGAGGCAACGTCTTCGTCGTACTGGACGAGTTTGTGGAGCGTTCCTGGCTGGATCCCGACAAGACACAGAACTCCATGTGTTTTTTCTCACCAAACATCCACCAAAGTTCTGCCACATTCCTGCGTTGGAGAGGGGGCAATCCCTGGTACTTCCTTCGCATAATTGGTCCTAGAACCTGAGTGACCTCTATTTTGGATCACCAAGCTCTCAAACAATAGGCTTTTTCATGTTTTGTCTATCAAAACTGGGGTCGAAGTTTTCCGGTTGTCCAACTCTGAGTGCCCCAACTCAGTTGCCAAGGCGAATCCGATGTCCAAAGTCCAACGACTGTGCGATCGAACGACGTAGCGATGCACTTGTTCCTAGTAGCGTGGCACTTGTTCCTACCAGTAAGGCACTTGTTACTAGTAGCGATGCACCAAGTGACATGATCGAAACTTTGGTGCTCTGCCCTGCAAAAGCTCACACCCGACTTCCGTTCATGGCGGGCCGCGCTGCTCAAGCGGACCACATCCATGGCGCGCCTTAGTTTCCCAATGCAGACAAGTCTCCGTTGAGAATCATTGACAGCTATGACTGGTCATTAATCGCTTCTAGGTTGGAGGTTATTGCTAGTAGGGGGAGGCCATCGCTATTCGGGGGAGGCCATTTTATTAAGTCCAAGAATGATAGCACGGCTGATTCACACAGTCAACTTTCCTACCAGGTCACCAGGTCACTAGTGCCTAGTCGACCGTGACCTCCAGGCAAAGGACACGGTCGAATACAAGCTGTTTGTCCATTGAATAAGGGGCCATATCATTGAGGTGGGTTGAACACCCAACTGCATCAAAAACTGAGAAACAAACATGTCAGTTGTTCCAGGACTCTTGCAAAATCTCGAGATAAAAACCAAAAATAACATGCGGCATATGGTGACAAGTTGCTCGGCGTTGGCGATGTGGAATGCATGAGGCATTGCTGCTGATACCAAGGAGTGATAAAACTACTCATGAGAAACGAATCGCATGCCTCAACTTGAGCCAAAACATCAAGTGCAGGCCAACAGTCACCAATTCTTCGACCCCGACCATGCAAAAACCAGGGATCCTCTAGTCTTCAAGGACATGTCAGGTGCAGTTGTTGTAAAATTGTTATTATGCATCAAAAGGTTGACCGTGATGAGCACCCCGATCCACCTCTGGATCCTCGACCTTGTTTTGGGGAGAAAAGTTGGATTCAGTAGGCGGCCGGCCACTCTGATTGAAACATGTTTTCGAAAAGGATTGGGAGTGCTTGCCCTCCACTCCTCCAATGGAACAATGCTGCTTTATTCCAGTCTCTCCAATTCTCATCAATTTGACAACATAATGATTCAACATGCTGATATACGAGTGGCAACCGATCTTCGACCAGTAAACAAACGCTGAAACTCGGTACACATAGTGAAGCAAGGCTGGAGCGACTGTCATGCCTTGAAGATGTATGAGGAGAATTGATCACTATCCTCAGATCTTTACAGGGTTGGTTTCATTCACCACTGTGAATAGTCACATCATCATTCACCTCGTGAACCCCCCGTAGACGTGTCTCCACCAATCGGATCGATCCGGACCAATGTGGCGTTCTCCACACGGAAGATTTCCAAGACTCGAGCTTCAGGCACCTGGCACTCTAAATGGTTTAAAGTCCAAAGATGTTGGAGGCCACCGCTCTTAGTTTGGATTGCATTCCTATTATGTTAGAGGCCATCGCCCATCGCTCTTAGGTTTAAGGTTCAAAGAAAACAACTGCATAGTTAAAGTCTAAGACTCGAGGTCATCATGTATGATGTGTTCACCGGAGGAAGGGGAAAACAAAGACACCTACCGGGCGAGATGAAGCCAACGTGGTGTGAACTTCAAAAGGACGAACCCCTGGCCGGGTTTTGGATGGTTGACTGGTCTATGTTCCGAACCTTGGTCGTTGCCTGGGAGATCCCCCCTTTTACACACCCATATCCATCCGAAGGCCCTTTTCAAGGGGTAGGCGAAAGGGGCCGGCTGACCTCCTGGTTCGAAAGCTCTCGAAAGTGCCAAAACCCCTATGCCGGCTATGGAAAGACGTCTTCGGGGTTCTTGATTGAGTTCTTCCAACATCTTCCAACCTTCCTCTCCAAAAACAAACCATCGCAAAGATGGTATAGCACTTGCAAATCTTTGCACAACTGTATGTTTTACTAGGTATTACTCGTGCACATGAAACAAGAAAGTGTTAAGACCATCGCTTCCATGTTCGTAAAAAATAACATTGGACAAGTACAATAAATATCAGGGCACCTGTGCGCAAAAGAGAGATCTGACATGTTCCAAGTCGTTGTCCTGCAGAGATGAAGGACCCTAATTAAGCTTGCAGCTGGTCTCTACATGGAGTGGATTGCAGCTCAAGATCCCATTTCGCAATCATTCAGCATTTGATCACAACATGATACACATGTCGATATTATATATTTAAGTATAAATATCTATATGCCTGAATTTCCAATTTGAGACCATCGTTTCTTTTTGATTGTCGGAAACGCAAGCACCGAATGCTTGGTTTTGAGCCATACCGACCTGCCTGGGATTCTCCCTCATAACGAATGATTTGATGAAGGTATCTCAGTGGAACACGTCAGGTCTTCTGATCGATACAAAGCGATGAGGTGTGCTGTGTAGCAATCTACATTCCCCCTCAAACAATCCAAAGGATCACAGGACACTCAGAAGTACAGATTGTACAGGTTGCTAAGACTGTAAATTTGCTAGCTGCTACACCCCAACATATTACATAAACTCCTGGTAGAGCAGGGCCATGGGCACGGCCGAAAGCATGCGAGCACCTCAGCAATGGCGAACGACGGCCTATTGGAGTTCGCCAAGTGGATGTGAGACGATGTCCAAACCAAGAGCAAACGAAGGAAACCTCATACTGTCTGTTAGTTGGGGCACCCCTCCCGACATGTTTCCACCAGATCGGATAGATATTGGCTAACTATATAGATCTTGGCTAACTCGCGTCCACCAGACGACGAAGTAGATACAAATTTGGTGCACAAATACTCTTTGGCAATCACTTGTCTAAAACATCTCGCGGGTGGACAACATGGGGTCACGCCATCAGCAGTGGTCTTTTTGGGGCTACGACTTTGATGATCATTATCTCCAGCCCTATTGATGATTTCGTAAATATAAAATGTCTTCTGCTTCTTTTAGCTTTCAATGCAAACCAAATGAAATAAGTTTCATTGGAGCCCGTGCTGGCTTGTCGGAGACGACAATCCCAACAACCCTCCCTGAGTGCCCGGGTGTATCATGATTTCACGGATGAAATCGGAAGAAAATCCAGCGCTCTCCCAGATGTCAGTCTGAGCTTCCAGCCAAGAAGAGGCAAAGTAACCGATTTCTCTTCCACCAGCGCCTGCGAAGCCCGACAGGTTTTAGTGCTGTTTACCATTCAGAGATCCTCGCTCTAGCTGTTTTCCATCGTCTGTGAAGGTGGCGTCGCATGAGCATTTGCCAAAACAGTTTGACAGCTTGGTTGCAAAAAATATGTGTTAATAACACTATATATACATATATGTTATCTATTCCTTTTGAGTTTGAGGGGGCCTAATTTCTTTCTGAGGCCGCAGCTACACTTTCAACATAGCACATATCCAAAACCGCAGCGACCTTTGGAAGGGGCCGATCGCTTTTCCAGCTTTCCGCCAGCATCGCTGGATTCGGGGTGCCCAAGTGATATCACAGGATATTGCTGCGATCCTTAAATCAAGATGATCATCCAGCTTCCAGATTCCACTACTAGGAGCAAGAAGCTACTAGTAACAAAGGGCTAGTTACTAGGAACAAGGGCATCGCCGCTATTAGTATATAGCTATATAGTTTGCTACTCAAATACATCCACGAAAGATGATGTCTCCGGCCTCTTCACTGAGGTGTCGGCCTGTCGGACAGTGCTATCGCATGAGGACCGTGAGGACCGGTTGAGTTTTGGTCTTTCCATGTCCGATGTGGTCCTTAATGTAGACTCTTGACTCATAAACCCCCCCATCATATGAAGAGGATTTCCAATTCAAATGCATGGGTTTATTGATCAAGAGTCTATACATCTTCAGGGGCTGAGATGTCTGGACGGAGGCACTGGATGGCGCTGGGAAACAGGGACCAATTCCATCGCTCACACATGGATCTTGGAACGCGGACCCTTTTGCTTCGACGAATCCGGTCCCCAGAAATCATGAAACGAGGCCGGCACGAAGGGGCCACGTCTGGGACTGGGATTCCAGGCTCTTCTCTGCCTTCTTCTCCGTGGAAGACCTGCAAACGGTTCACTTTCCGTAGTGGGGTGTGTGGAGATCTCACCTTGACCAAGACTGAGATAGAGTCTGGTGATTAGTTGCAATATCTATATCAGTCTAGCATGGTCTAGGTCCTTGGACTTGCCCTTCGCCAAATGAACGAACTGCAAAGGACTTCTCCAAAGCCTCCAACGGGGGGCAATCCCAGTGGCGAGTTGGACCGGTCCACTGCTCAGGTGTTGGTCGAACGACCCGCGAATGGACCGGAAACCAGGCATCTCTTTCACCACAGCTTGTTCACGTTCACCTTCGAGCCTTGCTGTCCAGGAACCGGAAGAAAAAAGCAAACAGCATCAAACTTACTCCCCATGAAGAGAATTCACCACCCAGTTGAGGAAAATACACAGCCGAAGCAACACCAGGGTGACGCGTTTCGTCTCACGTCTCGTCCTCCGCCGAGACGTGAGACGAGACGCGGAACGCCGGAAAGGAGTCCTACAGCAACGTCCTACAGTCCTCGGCGGGGTCCTACGCCTTGGCACAGATCGGTACACCTGGGAACCCAGCAGGACATATACCGATACCTGGATCTTCCAACCTTGCAACAAGTTCTGCCAACATGGGCTGGTTTTGGAGTAGAAATCACATGTCAAACATGTTTGCAGAGTTGGATGATCCAGGTAAGTAGGTTCATTCATTGGCATTAACATATTGTACCTGTCTCATTGTTTCAGTTGGCAAACACGACAGATCTCCGAATCAAATTATTTGCACGTGCTATTCATCGAACCTATACAGGATTGTCAACACCCCCGTTGCCAGGTGACCTCTGCACGCGACTCCGTGGTGGACTGGCCTGGCGGACTGAGATCTTCTTGCGGACAGCGCGAAAAGCCCACCCCGATGTGGCGGACAGGTCAGATGTAAATGCGATGGACATGCCTCACGTGTTCCTGATGTGGTGCTTTTGATGCATGCCCATTATTTCATCAGTAGCAAAAAAGTCTAGCATTATCAGCTGTTGGCATTGTGCAATTTGCCAGTTATAGTCATTAAAGGGCCGTTGCTGAAATCTTGAGTGTCCAGTCAAGCAGGCGATGCGGCAGTGCAGGGACGGATTTTCCATTTTCAACGATGTGCCTCGTCCAATCATTTGCCCCGCAGCTGTAGTCTGCATCATTGAGGCTCACAGCCCTGCCTAGCCTCCCAGTGCGAAGGGGCAAAATGTGCCCGGAAATTCAGTCGGTCACAGGATAACAACTCAACGATTTCATTGTTAAAAGTCTCTTTTGCAAAATCCAAAGCCGTTTCCCCATCTGCTGTTTCTGCACATGCGTCAGCCTCAGCCTCAAGCAACAACCGTACAACTTCCAGGTGTCCCTGATATGTTGCATCATGCAAAGGTGTTCGCCCACGTGTAGTTGTTGCATCTTTGTCAGCACCAGCCTGAAGCAACAACCGCACAACTTCCAAGTGGCCCTGATACGCTGCATCATGCAAAGATGTTCGCCCACGCGTCGTTGCTGCATCTTTGTCAGTTCCAGCCCCAAGAAACAATCGCACGACTTCAATGTGGCCATTCTGGGCTGCAACATTCAATGCCGTTGTTCCATTTATTGTTGCTGCATCTTTCTCAGCATCAGCCTCAAGCAAACATTGCACAACTTCTGAGTGGCCGTTGTGTGCTGCACCATACAAAGCCGTTGCCCCATTTGTCGTTGCTGAATCTTTGTCAGCTCCAGCCTCAAGCAACAATCGAACAATTAACAGGTGGCCCTCTGCAGCTGCCGCATGAATGGGTGCATGGTAGTCAATACCACCTCTACAATTTGGATCACATGGTTTCTGAAGCAACCTTTCGACTTTGCCCGCATTATTTTCCCGACACTGGAGAAGTAATTCATTCGCCACTGCCTCATCAGCAGGACGAATGTCCAGTATTACCAGCTGCGCACTTGAGATTGATTCCAATGGCATGTCATCGTACAATTCGCCAATTGCGTCATTAAAGAGTCTTTGCTGAAATCTTGTGTGTCCGATCTGCCTTGAAAGGAACTGCTTTAGGTGCAAGATGGATTGTCCATCTTCAACCATGCGAAGCAATTCATCCTCGTCAACCTGAGTAACTGTTCTGCCAGACACAGCTGTAATCTCCATCACTGACGCGCCCACTAATTACTCTGTGTTTGTGCCCGCATGTCCATCCCAAATTGATCCGGGCATATCTGAACATTGTTTTAAAAGGTCCATATAATGTCCATATATGTCAACATCCAGACTTGAGCAAAGCGGTGGAGGACAATGTGTCCAATGTCTCGGTTTGTAAGCCTCCTGCCTGAGTGGACATGCAAAATTCTCAAGTCAAATACCAATCCACATGCGTGCACAAGGTCATCAACAAAAACCACTCAACATTGTTGTTTCCAATTTCGCCACTATTTTGTGTATGAACATTTACTGATATTTCTATATCTTCCCAGCAACATTGCTTGAGGAACCCGCCCAAGACACCAAACCACCGAGCTACGATCCTGAGCTGGGCCAAGCCCGCTCAACACGCTGGTGATTGATTGGCTTGGTGACAGGAGTGGGTGAAAACCTGGAATTGGCAGACTTTTCAGCCGCCCAAAACCTAGACTTAGACCCTCCTGAGGAAATAATTCTCGCCGCAAAATGCTGAGGTAAGTATTTCTACCGTAACTCATTCTGCCCTCAGAGAAGTGAACACGTCGTCACAAAAGAAGAATCGCGTTCTGCCTGATCTACCAAAAGAGGATACTGTTTTGGTCCGTCCATACCCTATGTGCAGCTTGGCTGCTTGCAAAATCACCTTCTTTCGTTTGCAAGTAGAGCTCATTGTTTTCAAGGCTCATGGTAGCATTTCTCAAGATGTTACAGCCCCTCTAAGGTCTCGGTTGGCATCACTGCAGGATTCGTTCACATTTTGATCACTCAACGGTTGAAAGGATCGATTGTGACAAGTCTTGCTGCCACCTGGCGTGTCCTTCAGAGAGGGTACGGAGAAAACGGCGCAAGTACGATGAAAAACGCTGTTACCCTGGGGATCATGAGATGGTGCTATAAGTCCACTCAGCCGACAAGTAGCTAGAAAATGGTAACTTATCAGCATTGACATGTAAGTTAGCTAAATCCATCTACTTACGGGAAAATCGATTTTCGACAGTTGTTCCGACATCCACTCTTCTTCACCACAGTCACCCGTTGAGAGCCTTTTCATTCTCACGGATGCCAAGTGTCAAGCCGAAGGAGCCATCTAGTCAAGATGCGATACTCAAACAAGGGCCCCTTGTGGACACGGACTGCTAATCGTTTGATGAGACCCACGTGATCTTCATCACGAAAGCAGTGTACAAAGCGAGGGTTTTCCCCATACATCACTGCATTTTCACACAAATGGTGTACGACATGCAGCTTCGGGATGAATTTCCACCTCCTGGAACCGGTCACAGCAGCTTGCACCCCAAGCCGATGATAGGCTTTGAGAAAGGTCATCCCGAAATTGTAAATGCTCCGGGCTTCCGAAGGGGACAAAATTCGTCCACTCCGCTCAACTGAATCAAACCACGCAGCCATTGCTCGTGTAGCAACTGAAGTGTTGAGTACTTCAACTGCCACCGGAGACCCAGCATCATGCATTCCCTTGATATATGTTGCCAAGCACTGATCAAGAAAAATCAGCATCAATCTGCCATTCCATGCCTTGATGGTCAAGCATGGGTTCCCTTCAGCATGCAGCATGCCACTTGTCAAGTAGCCCTGGCTGTGCCTCAGGGGTGAAAAAAAACAACAGTTTTCCAAAAATAGGACTTGTCCAAGCCAGTCCCCATAGCCAACTCTCGATATAGAAACAACCACCCACAACTTCAGTCATCTAGTTTTAGGCGAGGTGCTCGACACAATTAATGCTTGCCCACTTGCGAAAGCGACTTGAGCAAATCCTGAGTTTCTGATCCATCTGTAAGTGATCAGGACCAAAGAAGCCTTAGCTATGGGGCACGTGTGATTGCATAATTTATTAGGCTTGGACCTGACTAGGTGTATGTTTTTTCTAGTTTTAAGTCTAGGAACCCAAGGATGCCAGCAAATCTATACAAGATCCATTCAAGAATTGCAAAACACCCAGGTTGATCGCGTGCATCGAGCACCACTTCACATGCTTGATGTTGAATCCCTCCAATGAAAGGATGGGATGCGGTGTCCTGCATGACTAGTGTTTAATCAGCTAGGATCTTCCCAACACACTTAAACACTAGTACCACTAGATACCACTAGTGTTTAAAAGATATTGATGTTGGTCAACCTCCAATTTGCCACACCCCAGCCTGAAGCAAGTCAAAATAGCATCTGTGTTGGATCTCCGGCGAAAAGACTTCGTGATATTGGTCCACCTTGTTGGGTTATTATTTCACACACAGTACTCTTTGTGGGACCATAGCCCATAATCTACAACAATATTTTAGCTACTTGTCGGTCGAGTGGACATATAGCACCAGGACCAGTCATGAACCACATGTGAAAAGACATGCTTAAACATACACAAGGATCCTATTGAATCCAGCTTTGCCAGCGCAACATACATGGCAAAAATTTGTCGCCGTCCAGTGGGCTGACAGCTGGAGCGCTTCTCGAAGCCATTTCCAATCGCCACGATGCTCGGTGCAATACGCAGGACCTCCTGACAGGGCGAGCCAGGAGATATATCACACCAAGATTGTGTAGACCTCACAATATAGACAACACCCAGTACAACACCCCTCACTTTACAGGAAGTTGATGCCTGCAATTGGCTTTCCAGCACGCTTCATATGCACCGAAGGCAATGGCGCTTGATTGCAATGAGATGGATGAACTCCCCCACTCAATACCTGAGACATGTCCAGCCCAGCACAACCGAGTTTACACAGTCATCAACCCACAAGTAAAGTTGATGAAATAGAACAAAACTTACATGATCTTTCCTGGTTACATTTAGGCTCCAGCAAATGATTTCCCATATTGGTTGGAGGCTGTAGTCAGGGATAGCCAGTGAGCACCGCAAGACAAATAGTGGATAGCGACAGAGGTCCAAACCTGACTCACATGCACTACTGAAGACGCAATTGTGGAAGGTATTGCAATTCCATGCAATTCCCATATGCGCAAGACCAAATAGCTAATTCTGTTCAGGGACTTTTGGGCTCAAACAAAACCACGTTGAATGCTATGACGATGACTTTTTCACCACAATTGTTGTAACGGCAATCATCGCCATACAGACCAACAATGTTAGCATCCTTCCCAGCCCCGGGATGCTGTGGATGAAAATGCTGCCAGTACTCACGGATCTTCTGTTTGTCCAACTTCAGCTTCCCGGTGTCCTTGGACTTGAGCGTAGTATTATATGGGCCCGTGGCAGGTTTCCAGGCGGTTTAGAGCACCTAGTGGGTCACCACAGGGAAAATCAATATACATGTAATAATATTAAATTCCAAAAGAAGGCCCAAGGCTCGTAGAGGTAATGATACACCTCATGGGGAAGCAACACAGGTACGTTCATCGTTTCCAGCTTCGATCTGTCTTCAGGGCTCCGAATTGGGATGCGAATCCAAAATGGGTTCACTGGGAACTTCAATAGATTGGCCAAATCCCTTTCGATGTTGTTGGGATAGCGTCCACCACAGCCCAGTCCAGCGAATCTCTCTGTAAGTGGGGATAGCGTTGACCCATTGGCCTGCCCATGGTTTTTTGTTATACTGTTGATTATCTAGTTGTAGATGCCCAGAGATACCAAGCTTTAGATAATGAACTTCTAGTTCCTTGCAGTGCTATCTTAAGGATATGGTTTTGCCGACACCC